TTTCAGTCTGTATGTGTCCCTAGGTCTGAAGTGGGTCTCTTGTAGACAGCATATATACGGGTCTTGTTTTTGTATCCATTCAGCCAGTCTATGTCTTTTGGTTGGAGCATTTAATTCATTTACATTTAAGGTAATTATCGATATGTGTGTTCCTATTTCCATTTTCTTAATTGTTTTGGGTTTGTTATTGTAGGTCTTTTTCTTGTGTTTCCTGCCTAGAGAAGTTCTTTTAGCATTTGTTGTAAAGCTGGTTTGGTAGTGCTGAATTCTCCTGGCTTTTGCTTGTCTGTAAAGGTTTTAATTTCTCTGTCAAATCTGAATGAGATCCTTGCTGGGTAGAGTAATCTTGATTGTAGGTTTTTCCTGCATCACTTTAAATATGTCCTGCCACTCCCTTCTGGCTTGCTGAGTTTCTCCTGAAAGATCAGCTGTTAACCTTATGGGGATTCCCTTGTGTGTTATTTGTTGTTTTTCCCTTGCTGCTTTTAATATTTTTTCTTTATATTTAATTTTTGATAGTTTGATTAAATTGTGTCTTGGTGTGTTTCTCCTTGGATTTATCCTGCATGGGATTCTCTGTGCTTCCTGGACTTGATTATCTATTTCCTTTCCCATATTAGGGAAGTTTTCAAGTATAATCTCTTCAAATATTTTCTCAGTCCCTTTCTTTTTCTCTTCTTCTTCTGGGACCCCTATAATTCGAATGTTGTTGCGTTTAATGTTGTCCCAGCGGTCTCTGAGCCTGTCCTCAATTGTTTTCATTCTTTTTTCTTTATTCTGCTCTGCAGTAGTTATTTCCACTCTTTTATCTTCCACATCACTTTTCTGTTCTTATGTCTTAGTTATTCTGCTATTGATCCCTTCTAGAGAATTTTAAATTTCATTTATTGTGTTGTTCATCACTGTTTCTTTGCTATTTAGTTCTTCTAGTTCCTTGTTAAACGTTTCTTGTATTTTTTCTATTCTATTTCCAAGATTTTGGATCATATTTACTATCATTATTCTGAATTCTTTTACAGGTAGACTGCCTATTTCCTCTTCATTTGTTAGGTCTGGTGGGTTTTTTTCTTGCTCCTTCATCTGCTATGTTTTCTTCTGTCTTCTTATTTTGCTTTTCTTCCTGTGTTTGGGGTCTCCTTTTCACCGGCTTCAGGTTCATGGTTCCCATTGTTTTTGGTGTGTGTCCCCAGTGGCTAAGGTTGGTTCAGTGGGTTGTGTAGGCTTCCTGGTGGAAGGGACTGGTGCCTGTGTTCTAGTGGAGGAAGCTGGATCTTGTCTTTCTGGTGAGCAGGTCCACATCTGTTGGTGTGTTTTGGGGTGTCTGTGGCCTTGTTATGTTTTTATGCAGCCTCTCTGCTAATGGATGTGGTTGTGTTTCTGTCTTGCTAGTTGTTTGCCATAGGGTGTTCAGCACGGGAACTTGTTGGTCATTGAGTGGAGCTGGCTTGGTGTTGAGATGGAGGTCTCTGGGAGATTTTCTCCGTTTGATATTACGTTGAGCTGGGAGGTCTCTTGTGGACCAGTGTCCTGAACTTGGCCCTCACACCTCAGAGGCACAGCCCTGACACCTGACTGGAGCACCAAGAGTTTGTCATCCACACAGCTCAGAATAAAGGGGAGGAAAAAAAAAGAAAGAAGAAGATAAAATAAAGTACAATAAAATATAATAAAGTCATTAAAATAAAAAAAATAATTAGTAAAAAAAGTATTTTTAAGTAATATAAAAAGGGAAGACAGGCTATACAGACACAGATCACACACAGAAGCAAACAGATACACACTCACAAGAAGAGAAAAAGGGAAAAATTTATATATATCGTTGCTCCCAAAGTCCACCTCCTCAATTTTGGATGATTCGTTGTCTATTCAGGTTTTCTACACATGCAGGGTACATCAAGTTGATTGTGGAGATTTAATCCGCTGTTCCTGAGGCTGCTGAGAGAAATTTCCCTTTCTCTTCTTTGTTCATACAGCTCCCAGGGGTTCAGCTTTGGATTTGGCCCCGCCTCTGCATGTAGGTCGCCTGAGGGTGTCTGTTCTTCGCCCAGACGGGACCGGGTTAAAGGAGCAGCTGATTCTGGGGCTCTGGCTCATTCAGGCCGGGGGAAGGAGGGGTACGGTGTGCGGGGAGAACCTGTGGTGGCAGAAGCTGGCATGACGTTGCACCAGCCTGAGGTGCATCGTGTGTTCTCCCAGGGAAGTTGTCCCTGGATCACTGGACCCTGGCAGTGGCGGGTTGCACAGGCTCCCGGGAGGAGAGGTGGGGATAGTGACCTGTGCATGCACAGAGGCTTCTTGGTGGCTGCAGCAGCAGCCTTCTCGTCTCATGCCCATCTCTGGGATCTGCGCTGATAGCAGCAGCTCGTGCCCATCTCTGGAGCTCCTTTAAGTGGCGCTCTTAATCCCCTGTCCTTGCACACTAGGAAGCAAAGAGGCAAGAAAAAGTCTCTTGCCTCTTCAGCAGCTCCAGACTTTTTCCCGGACTCCCTCCCGGCTAGCTGTGGCCTGGTAGACCCCTTCAGGCTGTGTTCACGCAGCCAGCCCCAGTCCTCTCCCTGGGATCCGACCTCCAACCTCCGAAGCCCGAGCCTCATCTCCCAGCCCGAGCCCGCCCCGGCAGGTGAGCAGACAAGCCTCTTGGGCTGGTGAGTGCTGTTTGGCACTGATCCTCTGTGGGGGAATCTCTCGGCTTTGCCCTCCGCAGCCCTGTTCCTGCACTCTCTTCCGCGGCTCCGAAGCTTCCCCCCTCTGCCACCCGCAGTCTCCGCCCGCGAAGGGGCTTCTAGTATGTGGAAACCTTTCCTCCACGGCTCCCTCCCACTGGTGCAGGTCCCGTCCCTATTCTTTTGTCTCTGTTTTTTCTTTTTTCTTTTGCCCTACCTAGGTACATGGGGAGTTTCTTGCCTTTTGGGAGGTCTGAGGTCTTCTGCCAGTGTTCAGTAGGTGTTCTGTAGGAGTTGTTCTACATATAGATGTAGTTCTGATGTATTTGTGGGTAGGAAGGTGATCTCCATGTCTTACTCTTCTGCCATCTTGAAGCTCCTCCCCACAAACTTTTGAATGTAAAGTTTATTGTTTTTTACTGTCCTAGTTTTATGTGTTTTCTATAATACAAATGTTTGTTTCATATTTAAATATGTATATTTATAAATATGTATTTATAATTTTTATATAAATGTATATTTATACTTCCATCTTTTGCATGTATAAACCATTTATTCATCACGTATTTATTAAATACCACATCTATAGAGCAGTGCAGTAAGTGTTGTGAGGTGCACTCGAGAAGATGTTAGGGTCTTCCCTCAAGGAAAATAAAGTCTAGTTGAAGATAAAGTATATATGGGACAGCCAAAAGGCTATTAACAAGGAACTGATAAATAAATGCAAGGTAAACTCCATGTTTGTACTATGGGGCATGGAGTAACAGAATGATGAGTGTGGTTGGGTTAAGGAAGACTTCCTGGAAGTGAAATGTAAACTTTTTCTTAAAATGTGTCGATTGGTGAAGTATGTGATTATGTTTGGGGATGAGGGAATTGTGATATTACAGGAAGTGGGAAGAATAGCCCAGAAGAAGCAATTAACATGGGCCAAATCATGGAGATTTGAGTTGATAAATTAGGAGTTAGAGATGCCATTTCAGAAAGTAGGAGAGATGAGACAAAGAAGATAGTTGATAAAGAAGGTGATTTGGTTTAGAGACTGGAAGAGGAAGATTTTGTGGGGTAGGGTTGAGATTCAATATGAGAAAGAACTGCTGTTAGTTCTTGAGAAATCAGTTAGCAGATGTTTACTTCCCACAGCCTGTCATGTACAAGGCATTTTTAGTGTTGAGCAGTAGGGCAACTCAGTGAAAACATAGGTTCTGTGGAGGATAAAACATCATGGAGAGATACATGATGCAGGCACAGTGAACGGGAGCCTGTTGTGTCAATCAAGGCAATAATGGACTGAGAATGTTCACTCTAGTAGTAACTTTGGAAGTGGCGCTTCCAGAAAAGTAATAGACACTAACAATAAAACAAAGTACAGCAGGAAAGAATTCAGAAAGATTCTGTTTGATACCACATTGTGATAAGCCAACTTACACTTTCACAGAAGTTTTTTTCTAGCTCTGTCACACTACAGTAATAATCTTTGAATAATAATTTTTGCTCAACAGTAATTACCACTGTTGAGCATTTACTGTGTGCCAGGCACTGTGTCAGGTTCTTTGCATGTGATACTTCATTTAATCTCCAAAACAACCTTGTGAGGTAGGTGGTATTATCCCTATGTTATAGATGGATAATTTAGGTCAGAGAGGATAAACAACTTGTCTACATTCACAGAATTATCTAGTCCTAGGGTGAGGCTTTGAACCTCGATCTTTTTATTCTGAGGGATGTACTTGTAAGCACTGTGTTGATTTGTTTCTAAAATGCAGTTCCCCTGTCTGCCTTAAATTCTCAAAAATATACATGTGATTAACATACACACTACTATATATAAAATAGGTAATCAGCAAGGACCTACTGTATAGCACAGGGAACTCAATATTCTGTAATAACCTATATGGGAAAAAAATCTGAAAAAGAATGGATATATGTATATATATAACTGAATCACTTTGCTGTATACCTGAAACTAATGCAATATTGTAAATCAACTATACCCCAATATAAAGTAAAAATTAAATAAAAAAATAAGAATCTGCTTTTCACCAAACACACACACACACACACACACACACACACACACACGGCATGGCCTGCTAAACCCTGAAATCTTTATGTATATTTTTCAGATCTTAAGTATGTTTCATATCGTATTGAAACCTTAACAGATGAATGTTTAATGTGTGTGTCTCACATAAAGCAATGCATCCAAGATAAATGAGGTAAAGAAATAAAAATTGCCATTGAAAGTTAAAATAATACAAAAAGGTAGACAAGTATAATTATCAAAAGCCTGGTGTGGATTATTATTATAATTTCTCATTAGTCAGGATTTGCATGAAGATGTCGAAGAAGCTGGTGCACTGCAGAAAAATCACGCTTCTGTGACATCTGCAAACTCCACAGAAGCTGCAGATTCTGCCTGCCTGCCTACAGAAGATCAGTCATTAAGTACTGCAAGCTGTGAAATACCCACAGAACACACTCCAAGCAGTGATCCAGAGAGTGCCCTAGAAGTAAATGATTTTGAAGCGACAGGGGAGAAAGAAAACCATTGTGATGATAAATCTTCTGTGCCCTCAACTTCAGAAAAGGAAACAAGTGAAAATGTGCCTATGGCCGAAGAAACTGCAGAGCAACCAAAGAAAAATAGGATTACTTACTCGCAAATTATTAAAGAAGGCAGGAGATTTAATATTGATTTGGTGTCAAAGGTAAGTACCAGTTTTACCCATCTTTTCATAGAACAATACTAAATTTTAATTGATTGAAAATAGCATCCGGGTCCATAAACCCAATTTTAATAATTTTATTCTCTGAAATGTAGAACATTTACTTTATAAAGAGATAGTATCTGAAGTTTATAGCTCCATTAAAATATTCTTTAAACATAGTTAAAAACACATTAAGAATGCTCAGTACTATATCAAGGATACTTCTGTATTGGAACACGTATTCCACCCTAATATTCTCCTCCTACTGCATGGGCACTATGAATTCTACCAAGAAAAAAGTCTAATGAACCTAATTACAGATCCATGTTATTTATAGTCAATCTATTAAATGAACTTTTGTTTAGCCCTTATTTATATAGTAACTATTTTAACATCTATATGATGATGAACATTTTGAAAAAAACAATGCATTTTTGAAAATTATTGGTTCAGGTGTGAGAACTTTGGAGGATAATTTAATAGTAGTGGGGGCAGGGAGATTGGTAAGAATGCTATTTACTTCGGTTATTTTTCTACCCTTACCTCTAATGTTAGGTCAGTATGACTTCAGAAGAGGTTCCTGAGTCTTAGGAGGATATAGTGTTGTACTGGGTTTATGGGAAGCAAGGCTAATTTAGTGCAAAAGCATAGAAAACCAGTAACATAAAAGGTAATGGCCTTAAAGGGTTACAGTATAGGGCTGGGTGAAAGTAGAAAGAAACATACCAAATACCGTAAGTTGAGGGCAAACGAGAAATTGAAAGGAAGTAGGAGAGGGTGGTGAATAACATCAGACTTGCCTCAAAACTAGGCTTTTCTATTTAATGTGCTCTCCTGAAGTTCCAGGTTATAAAGAGAGGGACTAATGCTCCTCACATTTTGCTGATCCAATCACACATCCTCATACTGCTGATATCTTTGAACCTGATGCCTGAAAATATGAATATCTTTTTACTACTCATAGTTTCTTTCTGACATAGCTCTCTGTGCCTGATTCTGCCTTGGTCTGAGTTGGCTACTGCCTTGGTCCTACCTAATATTTCTGTACCGTCTATTCCACCTACTTTGATCCTGCCATCCTTTGAAATCTAGCATTCTTTCCATGTTACCTTGGCTATTAATTTCTGGGTGGAAGTTAAATCATAGCTCACTAATAGTCTTCCTATTCTCATGAGCAGGAAAGAATTAAAAAAAACAATAAATAAGACAAAACACTGAAGTAGTCAAGTAACAAATAGGTTTTGTTCTGAAATTTTCATTTTGAATTAGTTACTTGGAATTTGAAATGCTTAACTGAAAGAAATGGTGAATGGTGGTTAAGAATCAAGACTACTTCATAAAAGTCTCTAACCTTTATGTTAGCTGAAATATAGTATAAATCTTGCAAAGGGAAATGGTAAAAGAAGTGCTGTTAGAATTTTTGGAATTATTGTAGGAAATGATTCAGTTGTATAAGAAAATGCATGCTGGTTGTGGTGCAGGGGGAGATAGTTTAATTAGATACTGAGATATCTGAGGAGACTCTGAAGGAGATTTCTGGGTATTTTCACAAGTTTGAACAGTTAATAATAGTGGTTCTCTTAGGGTAAATTAAAAACAAACACGTCTAGAGGAGTTAAGGCAGTTGTATTTTGTCCTGCATAGGTTTCATGGGTTCACATGTTTAAAAAATAACTAATAATGATTTACTGTACTCATCCTACAAAAGCAGGGGTAGCTAAAGAATGTATAACCATAGCAATACAAGAGGTTTATTATCATTTTTAAAAAGTCAGTCATTTAATGAACATTTATTGAGTACTTACTGTGTGGAAAGCAGTATATTCCATGACATTGGGTCAATCAGTTACTCCTAGGAAATTCCATCTGCTGTAATAATTGCAGTTATTGCATCTGAGTGTAGGGTGATTGACAAATATCTATCTGAAGCCCTACCTCTTTCCTAAAGTCCAATTTGATATCGCCAAACTATTTGACATTTCTACATGCATTCCATTTCAGAGTCATCATGATAAAACTGCCAAGTATTGTGGTGCTTTACAGTTTACAAAACTCATCCCTGTATACTGCCTTTTAAAAAGAAATCTTATAGCTCAGGGTAGGTTAGTTAAATAAAATATAGTACTTTACTGCTTATGCTTATAGAGAAGATGATCAAAGATGAAGTTCTTACAAATAAAACTCATTTCAAAGAAAGTCCATACCCTTAATAATTATGAAACCAACATGCCAAGTGAAGCAAGAGTTGTTAATTAATTTAGTTGCCATTATTATAATCAAATTGAAGTATTCTTTAGCCTCTCACCACTGTGAAATTGCTATGGTAGGTCACTTACATAATGATGGAAAAGAAGCTTAGGTTTAAATATGGTACATAATCATTTCTAAGCTTCAGACAAAAGGTTATGTAGTTTTTATTGAAATGTGTTTTCACTCTTCAGTGGTATCTTAAATGCTTTATTTTTAAAGCTGGCATTAAATCTTAAGGTTTATTAGATCTTAAAATACATTCTGTGTTTGATATATTAATATTTGTGAAATTATTATGATACTGAGGGATCACTGAATCTTGAGTATTTGTGTTTTTAAACAAATAAGGTATTTGGAGTAACTTTTATTATAATTATAGAATTAAGACTTGGCAATATATTCTTAAAAGCATGAGCTATATCAGTTGTGTAGTTTATTAGGCTGAAGGTAATGAAGTAACATGCCATATTTAGTCAGGATAATTGATTTTTTAAAAAGCAGTGTCAATTTTCTTTCTTCTGCACAATGTTAGACTAATATAATAGTTTAAAAAAATTTACCTAACTGATACTGATTTACAGAACGACTGTACTGAACCTCTTGCGTACTCAGACTAATGGTTTTTTGTTTTGTTTTGGTTTGGGTTTTTTTGGCTGGTTATGCTCTGTATAGGTTTTTTTTTTTTTAACATCTTTATTGGAATATAATTGCTTTACAATGTTGTGTTAGTTTCTGCTGTATAACAAAGTGAATCAGCCATATGTATACATATATCCCCATATGCCTTCCCTTTTGTGTCTCCCTCCCACCCTCCCTATCCCACCCCTCTAGGTGGTCACAGAGCACAGAGCTGATCTCCCTGTGCTATGTAGCTGCTTCCCACTAGCTATCTGTTTTACATTTGGTAGTGTATATATGTCATTGCTACTCTGTCACTTTGTCCAAGCTTACCCTTTCCCCTCCCTGTGTCCTCAAGTCCATTTTCTATGTCTGCATATTTATTCCTGTCCTGTCCCTAGGTTCATCATAACCATTGTTTTTCTTTTTTTTTCTTTTTTTTTTACATTCCATATATATGTGTGAGCATACGGTATTTATTTTTCTCTCTCTTGACTTAACTTCACTCTGTATGACAGACTCTAGGTCCATCCACCTCACTACAAATAACTCAATTTCTTTGTTTTTATGGCTGAGTAATATTCCATTGTATATATGTGCCACATCTTCTTTATCCATTCATCTGTCGATGGACACCTAGGTTGCTTCCATGTCCTAGCTATTGTAAATAGTGCTTCAATGAATATTGTGGTACATGACTCTTTTTGAATTATGATTTTCACAGGGTATATACCCAGTAGTGGGATTGCTGGGTCATATAGTAGTTCTATTTTAAGTTTTTAAGGAACCTCCATACTGTTCTCCATAGTGGCTGTATCAATTTACATTCCCACCAACAGTGCAAGAGGGTTCCCTTTTCTCCACACCCTCTCCAGCATTTATTCTTTGTAGATTTTTTGATGATGGCCATTCGGACCAGTGTGAGATGATACCTCATTGTAGTTTTGATTTGCATTTCTCTAATGATCAGTGATGTTGAGCATCACTTCATGTGTTTGTTAGCAATCTGTATATCTTCTGTGGAGAATTGTCTATTTAGATCTTCTGCCCATTTTTGGATTGGGCTGTTTGTTTTTTTTTGATATTGAGCTGCATGAGCTACTTATATACTTTGGGGATTAATCCTTTGTCAGTTGCTTCGTTTGCAAATATTTTCTCCCATTCTGAGGGTTGTCTTTTGGTCTTGTTTATGGTTTCCTTTGCTGTGCAAAAGCTTTTAAGTTTCATTAGGTCCCATTTGTTTATTTTTGTTTTATTTCTGTTTCTCTAGGAGGTGGGTCAAAAAGGATCTTGCTGTGATTAATGTCAAAGAGTGTTCTGCCTAAGTTTTCCTGTAAGAGTTTTATAGTGTCCGGCCTTAACATTTAGGTCTGTAATCCATTTTGAGTTTACTTTTGTGTATGGTGTTAGGAAGTGTTCTAATTTCATTCTCTTACATGGAGCTGTCCAGTTTTCCCAGCACCACTTATTGCAGAGGCTATCTTTTCTCCATTATATATTCTTGCCTCCTTTATCAAAGGTAAGTTGACCGTAGGTGTGTGAGTTTATCTCTGGGCTTTCTATCCTGTTCCATTGATGTATATTTCTGTTTTTGTAAGTACCATACTGTCTTGATGAGTGTGGCTTTGTAGTATAGTCTGAAGTCCAGGAGCCTGATTCCTCCAGCTCCATTTTTCTTTCTCAAGATTGCTTTGGCTATTTGGGGTCTTTTGTGTTTCCATACAAATTGTGAAATTTTCTGTTCTCGTTCTGTGAAAAATGCCATTGGTAGTTTGATGGAGATTGCACTGAATCTGTAGATTGCTTTGGGTAATGTAGTCATTTTCACAATGTTGATTCTTCCAATGCAAGAACATGGTATATCTCTCCATCTGTTTGTATCATTTTTAATTTATTTCATCAGTGTCTTATAGTTTTCTGCATAAAGGTCTTTTGTCTCCTTGCGGAGGTTTATTCCTAGGTATTTTATTCTTTTGTTGCAATGGTAAATGAGAGTGTTTTCTTAATTTCTCTTTCACATTTTTTATAATTAGTGTATCAGAATGCAAGAGATTTCTGTGCATTAATTTTGTATCCTGCTACTTTACCAAATACATTGATTAGCTCTAGTAGTTTTCTGGTAGCATCTTTAG